TGGGTAAACAGACATTGTTTGGCGTATTTTCGGTTCGCTTAGGCTGCCGGGATGGTCAAGGGGCTGGGTTTAACGCAACTGCAACCCGCTCCCTGTCAGTAGCTGAAGCAGAGGTGCGACAACGGTTGTTTGAAAACGAGCCTCAAACGAAGTCTGCCTCTCCCTTCTCTCTCTCCCCCCCTCTTCTCTAACACGCCCATCACTCTCAGCGAACAAGACTGTAGGTCATGCAGATTGCATGATTCAGTTTTTCGAATAGAAGGCGCTGTTGGCTCTATTGCTATCTGTATCTCTGTCTTTAGTAACAAAACGGATTCCAAAGTTTTTATGCCAAGAAATTCATGAGCTGTTATCTCTCGAGCTTCCTGGAACGAAAAACACCTCATAAGTGAGAGCTGAGGATGTATTATTACTGCTTTCCATTCTGCAAAATCAGCAGCGGCATCTAAAGTAGCGAGACTCAAAGGAATTCGACTCAGCCTTGAGCTGAGTCGAACAAATCTGTCCCTGTTGCGAACACATTTCCAGCGTGCGCAGTTATTTAGCCCTACAACCTACGTTACTATGACTCTATTGTAAAAAGATCAGCTACTGTGAACTTCACAGCGCCGTGAAGTAGGGAATGGGTAGATGTTTCCTTATTTACGTTTGATAAACTGCATTTTAGTTACTATACTCAACTACCTCCAGTTTGCTTACTCAAGCAAAAGCGGTATCGCAACACTGCGGGAAAATGGTCATAGATGAACCAGATGTACAAATAGCTGTGGACTTTAGTGGTAAGTACATCGAATATTTATTTGAAACTTTTTTTAACATTTGAGGTTAATTCACACGAAAACGTCGACACTTCTCCCTATCCCTTTTAGTTTCATTTATCAGCACTATGCGAAAATATACGCTTGTTTTTGGCTCTTAAAAGAAATGTGTTTGGGGAAAATGTTAACCGTGATGTAAGAATCCCTGAAGCTGCGATTTTGATGATATCCCTATGAAATTGGCGTCCTCATAGTTCTACTATGAACTCACATATACTAAAATCTCTTACTGCACAGAGTGACAGTAACATCTTGTTCATACTTCCTGAAGTCATACCAGTTTGTTTGTTTGTTTGTTTATACCAGTTTCTGCTGCCTTCCGCTTATTTTCCCCAATCCCATGACTTATTGTAGACGTTTTGGTAACCATCCTGGCATCGCTCACTCAAATGCACACCCTGCTCATTATCCCGGCGGAGCTTAGCTTAGGTTACGTGTGTTCCGTGCATTTTAACTTATGCCTCACCATGCCAAGCTTTATCCGCTCCTTAGAAGCGATTTTTTACGTCATTCCCATTTTCTGGGACATTTTCAAACTGACTGCTTCTGGTTCACATGTAGAGAGATTGTAAAATAGTCTTATCGGGTCTCGTGAACTGAATATCCAATTTGCTTTCTCATACTGTGCCGAACTAGTATTGGAGAAAGATTCCGTCCATCTTTTTTATCGAGGACGCAGCTGTTCAGCCAAAGTGCTTTATTCATACACTACACGTCTTATTTGTATCCGCATATCTAAAGTATTTATAGGTATTGCAGGCTATCTGAGTGATGGTAACCCTAGCAGGGATTATGTGCTTAAAACAGCTGCCGAGCGAAACTCCCAGCCTTTGCCGCAGATTCGTCATAACTTTGGCTTGAAACTTCCCAACGACAGGTCATTTCTTAGTGGGAACTTCACTTTACGCGTTTATAGCATCATTGTTTTCACTTTCTATTTCCAGGTTTTGCCTTCCTGCAGCCGAATGTCGAATGGCGAGGTTCGGATCGAACTACAGCAGATTTATTATCGAACAACTCATCGCTAACAGTAGGTCAACCGCCTGCTTCTTCGGCTTATGTGGATGATAGTCTTCAACAACTTCGCCCCGAACATGTCACTAATATACTGAAAAGATCAGCCGATGATGATTTCGATGTGTAAAAAGCAGCTTTCGGTAGGTTCATTTACGGGGAAATTCAATTTATTTTCAATTCGTTTCTTGATTTCCACATGATGTACTGTATATTTTTGAATCTGATCTCGCATTCGTTTTACTTTCTTGTCTTTTTTGTTCGCATTGTTGTTTAGTGGTTCTTTGTTTGAATGCCATTAATCTTCAAGTGTACTTGAAGCTTTTTTTTGATTTTTTGCAGTTTGTTTTCTGCATGCCAACAGGAAAAGCTTTCATGCATAAATCTATTAAATTTTATTGAAATTTTTTTTCTCGCCGTAAAGAGTACAGGAAAAAAAAGCAATATTTGGGGAGTTCTACAAGTCTTTCGAGAGGTCAGGCCATCATCAACCCACCATGTATACGGTAAACATGGTAAAGTTATCTCTGATCTTCTAGTCTAGATTCCACTGAATTTCTGAATTTTTGCTCAAAATTCCATATTTCATCGGATGCTATTAAATTTCCAAATTTCTCAATGCACAAGTCCGGAAGACTTGCCCATAATCGTAGACAAGCTAAATTCCGCAACACCCTTAATTTTGGGTTATCATGTCTCAGGTAAAAAAATCTGTCAATTGTTCTGGAAATATTAATGGTTTCTGAAAAACTATATAAACCCTTACCTTAGGACATACGAGTAATTCGTTCGAACTCTTGTTACTGAGCGCTTGAAATGTTAGGTTAAACAGCATAGCATACCTGCCATAGGGAATTATGGAGCTTTTGAAACCCTGTTTGTAAAATTGTTGAAAAAAAAACTCACAGACGGAACTTGGGTTTTCTGAATTCGATAAAGTCGCGTTTACTCGTGGAACTGGCGCTAAAGAGAGTGCACGAAAGCTCCTGATGCGTGGCAACAGAAGACTGAGAATCGACTGACTCCTCCAACTGTCTTTGACTTTTGAAGAACTTTTGTGATAGACTTTTGAAGAATGCCGATCCGGGGGGAGTGAGCGATTCGGTATTTGCCAACAACGAGTTGAGCAGAAGTTCTTCGACTTCGAGTCGCAGATCCTCAAAGTCTATACGTGTATTTCTTTTTCGCGCTTTCTCCCTAAGTGTCGCCCCCCTCCCCACCGAATCGCGGAATTTCCACATTCGCAAGGTGGGATGTGAAGTGGAGTATAATTGACGCTGAAGTAGTTTGTGGGAGGGGTGGGGGTACTCGACCCCTTTTCTGTAACCCTTCCTTGGAAAGGCTCAGTCTGAGCGCAGAGACACCGACGGATAGTTCAGCAGAGAAGGCATATTCTCCACTAAACCTATGCTTGATTAGAGGAACGGATAAAGAGGTGATGGTCGCTATCCCCGAACTAGGTCAGCGTCAAATAATTCCTTGATTCTGAGAGCATTTTTGATAACATAACCGAGAGTGGTTTGAGATCACGCCGGTCCTTATTAGTGGGGGAATACACGAAGGGACGATCTCTATACTTTTCCCAGTTCATTACCTTTTTGATCGTTTCTTATCACAGCAGCCCGTCGGAAGGCCAGTTACATGACTTTTTTCTCGTTTCTGCCTTGACGGTTGAAAATTTCCTTCACAGAGCGTTTTTTCTGTAGAAAACTTCTTTCAAGTGTCATTTCAGATTTATCTGTCAATTGCTAGTTAATTGGTCAAACCTAGTCCATATCGAAGGGTGAAAGGGGCGTGCCCAAGCACGTATCAGTAAGCGACAGCTACATAATCAGCGACGGCTATTCCTTTGCTGTCCCATCTCTTTATTGGATACGTTCCTGCATCCTTTCGGTCTGCTGGAAACGCCCCTTTCTGCCTTCATATATGGACTGTATGGGCTGTAGAAGTTGTTGGATATCGAACAATATCTCTTTAATAAGTGAACGTCAATCTATCACAATGTAACAAACCCAAACATAAAGAAAAAGGCACAAAATGATACCCGAAACACATACAATGCAATATAATAGTCATGGCTCGAAATATTGACTGAGGTCGAATAATATATGTGCTCAATCGAATGCACATGGTCAACCAGCTAAAAAATAATGAAAAGGCTACCAGATGATCTCACCTAAGGCACTACGTAAATACTCTGTAAGCATAGAAATCTGAAGAATCTAAAATGTAGTATAGAAAAAATGCACAGAGAAGAAAATGACTTGAGAAATAGATACATGCCCAACAACTACGTGCAAGCTTCTTGAGAAAAAAAATGATTAGAATTCAAAGTCCCTGTATTTTTCAAGGCGTTTACGTTCATCAGGAGTAAGTTTATGCATAGCGATTCCTTTTCCATAGACGGCAAACTCGAAGGGCCTGAAATATAGTTTTGAAAAGGAACTACACAGGTTATTTTCGTTGAAAACAGCAGAACTGATTCCATTTCTCCACCCAATTTGCCATCGCGGAATTGAAAATAATTGAGAAATCATTTAAAGAATTTTGTAAAAAAAAATGTTGAAGCACTGTGCCCATATAATGAGGCCACAGCTCAGATGGAATAAAAAATCGAAAAAAAGAGTGACACGATGAAGAGAAACCTTGAATCGAGCATCTCGAACGACCGTGGGTTGGCCATCTCATGTTCGGTAGCGAGAACAAAGATTAGCTGAAGAAATTGGTGATTAAGAACTAATCAATATCGATTTTGGACAGTTGTACTACCTCGATCAGTTTGCCGGCTTCAATCAATGCAGAATGAATGAATATGGACGGACCGGCCATTGAGAGTATGAAAAGTCGATCACCGGATGTTAACGGATCGACACGGGCTCGAAGAACTGCAAAATGGTTGACAGTGTTACTTTCAGTTGTTATGAGTATCTATCTGCTCCTACAGTCGGTTAGTATACCTTGTTCTACTTGTCATTTAATCACATTGAAGGCACGTGTCCACGCTGATCGCATGGGCGGAGTCAGGCTAGGCCTGTCATCTGTGCCCTGTCCAGATGCTCCATCATTCATACGACCGTGAAAGGGAGAGACGCGTCATTTTGGTAGGCGCGACGATTGACCCGACTCCGCCCATGTGACTATCGTGGACGGTGCATGAACTTCTTCAGGCTCCTAATTAAAAAAAATTATTCGTCAATCGTACCGGTAACGGGACGGATATCAGAGTTCGGATGGCATTCGTCGACCCATCCAACCGAGTCGAGTTTACCAGTTCCTTTACCGCGCTCCTCGAAAATATGTACACGATTGTCTTTGTAGCCGAGCAGAAGGTAACATGAACGGCCTTCCACTCGAGTCATTGATGAAATAGCTACCTCCATCTGAATACTCGTTGGCAACCTTTTACTTATAGACAACAGTTTACGTGGATTGTATGGGCGGAGAGAGCCAACCATCAAGTCCTTTCTCATTGCTGAGTCTGTCGCTTCGAGACAATGAAAGGAGCGCTTTAGAAGGCACCTCGGTTGGCCGTCCCCACCCAGACGGTTAATGTGGACTGGGCAGGACCACGCTAGGCAAGAGAGTCGTTGGAGCCATAAGATTTTCGAAAGAGAGCATCAAGCTCAAGCTCCTGCCGGCTCCCAAACCTGGCATACAGTACTGCCGTCCCCTGAGACTATCGAAGCTTACCTTTTTCAAC